CTAGATAAATCCCGAGTGTCTCCTTGGCTACTACTGGGGCATACCTTTCATTGTAATCGACTTCTTGTTTTGCATTGAATGCTGCTACGTTTAGATGTGATTTAATTCGTGTGACTTGCCCAGACTCATCCATTTTTACCTTGAATACCCATCGAGAGGGGAGTAGTGATTTTTCTCGTAGCTTGTTGTCAACCAGAGCGAATGCCTTGCGCTGTATCACTAAGATCTCCATCTCCGAACGTGCTGATTCCTCCCAATCGGCTGCGTTTGGCATCTCATATATAACTTTGTATGTTTTCGGTTCCATTGCTGAAGTTGCTGAATTAACAGTGTGCGTATTGCTGGGAGATCGTCTCTTTCCGCGGCTGTCGTGATACCAGTTAACATTATTATCATCTATCGCAAGGTCTTGCAGTTCTCGAGAGACTTGCGACCTTCTGCCGTTCTTCTAGCTATGGTTGCTTCAAGATCGTGTTGTGTTTTGGTAGTCGCTCGGGAGCCTCCAACACAAGGGTATGTACTTCGCTCTCGGCAGGTTGTTGTATTGACGATGAAGCTATTTGTAGTTGTTCTGAGTTGCTAGACGTTTGTGTCACAGTTGGCTAGGCTCGTTGACCAAGCATATCTTCCGTTGTCGATGTTGTTTTTGAATTTATTTGGAAGTCGCCATCCTCAACTTGTAGGAATGTACAGCTGCTCGTAGTGTCTGGTGGTGCGACAACGGATGTGCATTTGTTGCCTTTCCAGATAAAGTAATCTGTCCTCCAATATATAGACGTCTCAGCTTCGTATTATACGCTTCGTCAGAGGTTAGCGTATACGATACGAGCCTGGTGTTGTGTTCAAGGGTTGCGCAAGGAGAATACCATTCGTTGCTCTATCGTCGAGTTTGCCGGACTGGGATAATCGGTTCTTGTATGCGATGTGACACCCTAATGTTCTGAACATATCTATCGGAAAAGCGTATCATGTAAATTTCTCGTATGGAGATGAGCTCTTCCTTGTAGCATTGAATATGTTGGTAGTTTGAATCAGTGATTCAGCCCACATAGTAGTTGGTAGACATGTATACTTCAGTTGTGCGAGCATTCTATGGACCAGTGTACCATGTAGTCTCTCTACCTTGGCATGTTTTTGTGGCGTGGCCGTAGGTGCTAACATTGAGTAGTATCCCAAATACGCAAGCATGGTGAGCCTCGGTTCATTTGTATGCACTGGACTCGGCGACAAATTACAATATACCATTCATCGAATGTGTGTAACATAGCGTCAAGAATTGTTGTTGCTTTCAGATCGCGGATCGGATACTCTTTGGCCATGCTAGAAAAGTCGTCTATGATTGATACAGAACGGGCCTATTATGTCGACGAAGACTAATTCGAGAGAATTTGTGGTAGGTTGGTGCTGTCGTTCATTGTTGGTATTCTTTTTCTTCCTCTTTGCAGTAGTGCATGTGTAGAAATACGGCCTCCGGTCAGTCTAAAATATCAAGATCAATTGAGATAATACATTGGTTTTTATTTGTATTTTAAAAAATTTAATACAAGCTCTTTTTCCAATATTTCCAAAGTGTTCTAAATTCACTTTGATGGCTCCAATAGCCTGAGTATTTGGTATGACTCATCTACTTGGACCTATTTGAGACATTAGTAGATGTAGGATATTATAAACTAAATTTTATAATCTCCGAACTACTACTTATAGATTTTGGTCGAGGATATTTAGGCTCTTAACAAGAGGCAGTCCCGATCATTCTTACACAAGCTACCACTGCTAAATCCTAACTGACTAAATTGTATTTTAGTTTAATATAGTTTGAAACCTAGTAATTTCCATCGAAGTTCACACATGCTTTGCATCGTTCCTCTGGTTGCCTTGTGTTAGTTGGGGTGTGTTAGTCTGTCGTGCCATGTAATCTGGTTGGATTTCTCGAGCGATGGTTTCAGCCATATCGTCGATGTGCACGCAGCATATTCTCTGCTTTTCATGCACTGTTATGGTTCCAAAGCTTGGGAGTAATATGTATGTTGTTGTTGGTGGATTTAAATGAGTAATGTCGCGCTGAGAGCAAGCTTTTACTCAGTGTTACAGTTTTAAATGTCATATCGATGAGTAGATCCCCCAGGTTTCCTAGCTGAGCCACGTTAGCAGGTAGCTGGTCATCAGACACTTGTGCTGACATTGCTTTGTCCTGTCTGCCTTCATGAGCTTGGCGTCGATTGCTATGGGATTGGTATGTTCTGTCACGGAACGTTGGGTATCTCGTCGCGTCGATTGTATCTATCTACTCGGTAGTCTTGTCGGTCATGATCATCGTGATTATCGTAGCGGTATTGGTAGCAGTTGTTTCTGTTGTATCGTTCATCACGTGTACGGTAGCCACTATCTGAATCAGGTCGGTTATACTTGTCATTATTCTTGGACAAATATCTGTAGTCTCGCATGTCGTGACGAGGAACAGATTTGTCAATACGTCGATCGTAAGGTATACGACCGTCGAGATTACGACCCTGAACACGTGGTTTACCAGCAACACACGATTTGATTAGCGCTTGTAGCTTACGGCATTGCCGGATGGAATGTCCACGGTTATTGCAGAATGAACAATTTCCTGTCGATATAGCTGCATGTGCACCGTACACAATGATTGATGGGCCACTTTCGTCTGGATCCAATGCAATGAGATAAATAGTAAGCTCATCGTACGACATGGTTATCATAGCGGGTGCCTTCAACGTACTCTCAACAGTCTGATTATCATCGTTTACAGCTACGGCGCATTTGAATTTCACAAATGACGTGTTGAGACAACTAATAAGACTGGCGCAAGATTCCTTCCGTTCTTGCATGAAGCGGTTCAGTTTCCATTCTAATGTCTGTATATCATCTTTGGTCAGGGCTTCAAACTTGCGTTACAGTGCGGCGAAATTTTCTCACGGCTTATCAATGAACTGGCTGATCTCCGTCTGTAGTAGTGAAGATAAGGTGCGGTTGATAACCCGATAAGCCTCAGCGAATTTCTTGGGTGACCATCGGTTGCCGCTAGACGGGGTCGGATCGATCAATATGGTTGGAATTCCTTCACAATTAACGGACATAATGGTCTGGGTTTTCCCAGGAAGCCAATCGACCTTCATTTCGAGAATAGTGGTGGTCTCAATATCCTTAGGGTTAACAGTGGGAATGTTGATAGCGCGGAATCAGAGTGATCTGATAAATTGTTAGAGTGCAATGTAAGAGACTTTAATAGAGTGCAAATGTATGTTTTGTTTCAGACCTCACATTTGGTTTTATACCTAAGGCATTTGTGCTAGTGTTCAGCCGCTTGGTTTCGCCAGGGTAAAAACTCACATGGTCAGCATAAGAAAACTTCTGCAGAACACTTTAACACTTCGATGCTATTCTATTTCGACTTCTTTGCAACTAAATCTCACGCTGATCACATAATGATTTTCCGCATAGATTGTGATTCACATAAGAAGGCAGCTTTTTTATTGTTAGAATTTTGCGCTTGAATGACTTAATCTACTTTCGAGAGTCGGTTGAGAAACTTAACCTGCTCTCGGGAGTCGGTTAGATAATAACTCAACTCGCGGGAGTAATTTAGGCAACTTGATTAGCTCTCGGGAGTGAGTTAACTTTGATCATTTCTATAAATCAACGAGGAGTTCTTGCTGTAAAATCTGGTCTGAGACCTGTAGTCTCTCACAGCCGATTTTCAGCTACATTGCCCAATTTCTCCTTGAAGATGTATTTGAGGATGTATAGTTGGTCTACGCTTGTACAAATAGTGTACAAAGGAAAGTAGATGATAACACATTATATTGTTGCAATAGTCCACGGTGCCCATGAATCCTTGGACAGTCCCGAATGCGCTCAATCATTTAGAATTTTACAAAACTACTTGTGACGGAGTTTGCTTGACATCATTAGTTCACAAGGACAAAATAGCGGCAACCAAGCTGAGTGTTGGACCCTTGAAAAAAATCAACACTTTGTTCAAGATTTGCAGATACATGCCAAGTGAAATGAAGAGGGTTAACTCTCAGTTTATCTTAGGTGAACACTAGTATGATACAACAATACAATTGATTTGAAACAGCCACACGCGTACTATAACCATAGCACTAGCAGTTTCCCCCTTGAACAGCAGTCACGTGCCCTGTGAACTCTAAACGTGTGCTTAGTTTAGGCCCAACAACCTTAATTTTTCCATGAGGAACACATGTTTTTTTAATATAGAATTTAATTGATACATGTCATTTTAGCGACCAAAGACCCTATGTACTACTACTGCACATATGGTCGGTTGAACATCGTCCCTACATGAATGTAAGTATTGACCTTAAATTGTGTAACCATATACGTGCATATAGTAGGATACAAACGCACACAAGCTATAGAAGAATACACATGCAGTAGGAAAAACAAAACCACAGCGTAGCGACTACGAATTCAAACAGTAGCCACCACGAGCTCAAGCCGTAGCCACACCCGACCCAGAAAATGACCAAAGACATTTTCTTTTGCACTCAATTCGTAGCCACAGCGTAAAACGTTTTGTGTCTGATTGCGTTTGATACTTTTTTCCCGACGGCGCCGTAGACCATCAAACATGCGAGCTAATGGGTGAAAAACGCTACACCCCAAACAAACTACCCTCGACATTCGTAGCTACTTCATTGGTTTAGCGCAGGAATTGGGCAGGCGTGCTCCCAATCACTTTTTGGCCAATATAACATTTAAAACGACCAAATATTAATCAAGTCCCTTCATGTTTAAAAATTCGAGCACTTCAAATACATTCCGGTGGATGGCTTCCTTCATTTCTACTCAAATAATAACACCACCACCCAACCCAACCACTATAAAAACCACTGTGATCATGATGGTGCACTGAAGCCAATGATTGGAGAACGGAAGGAAATTATCGGGCATGGTTATGTACTGTCGAAGAGAGCTAGGGTATTATGACAGTCCTAAGGTATTTTTGTACTGACAAGAGTGCAAAACTTTGACTCGTATCAAACAATTAAGCCGTCATAAGGGCACCCCTCCTGAAGTTTTCTTTATAGAGGCTGAGCTGTGTGCGTCGAATAATCAAAAGTCTAATGCCCCTAGTCCACCCAGCAGGCGTAAAAAGATAAATGTCTCTGTTTTGGAGCATCAATGATCACCTGCGACAGACCCCACGGGGATTACAGACAAGAACGGTCTGCATTCAACGAGGAAAGCAATCGTACAATTTATTAAATTTGGGAACATGCGACGGGACGACTGCTCATTTCTTAGTGGTTGTGGTTTTCTCCCTCCGTTTTTTGGCTTTCTTGGGCATCTTCCCCTTGCGCTTCTCCTTGTTGTCGTCCTTTACCTCCTTCTTGTGTGCGCGCTTTAGAGCCTTCTTCTCCTCAGCACTCATCTTCGGTGGACGCTCCACCCACGCCTTACCCGTTTCACTGTCGCTGTCATCTCCACTTTCCCCTTCACTCTCAGAGCCTTTTCCTGAAATCGATTCTGCATCACTATCACTTTCCACCGAATCTTGAGTTCGACTGGTTTCTATTTGCGACATCTCGAGCTTTGACGTCTGTGACTGTATATCTTTTGCATCCTTCTTTTGGGGTGTGTTAGTTTTGTTGTCGGGCGTATCTTCAAGGCCCAGAATTTTAGCGTATATAAGCTGTGGACAGAGGTGCACAAGAGTATTAGCGAAGATACCGTGGTTTATAAAAAAGCATGACATGATGGATGAATATTTCCCGCATACATCGTAAATGAGCAATGGGTAAAGCAGTCCATCACCGTGCTTCCTGTATAGCGTAAGCCTCATCCAACATGCACAAATGCGTAGCAGAGCCAGCTCTGTCACAATAGCTCATCGCTATGTTCATCGCACCATGCTATCACAACATAAGAGGTGTTCTTTTATTTGATGCCCACACACTCATACACATGGATCGACAACCACGCGCACAACAAATAGAATACTCAGCCATATATGCAATAACAGAAACATGTACATTCAACAACAGACATACGTCGACAGTCTCTCCCGACTTGGCCGCCCGTTGCATGCGCTCATGATCTCGTTCGAAGTCCACTACATCATCTAATGTACGTGGTATGTACGCATGTTGGAACACAGCCTCTGCCACTTTATCCTCAGCTGTTTCGTCTCCCCGTGCCGCAATCTTCTCTTGCGCCTATCCATCGATAAGATGTTCATGCGAATTTCTGTTAGTTCTATCGCATTTCATTCAGCCCAAAACGGGTTTTAGGATTTTGACTCGATGGGCCATGGCAATACAGATTTAGGAATACAGACCTGAATAACAAGAACCTACAGGGAAGTGGCACATTCCGAGCATTGCAAAAAACATAAAACTTTTCGAAGAACAAAAGCGATCTCGCCATATATGATGTGGCCAACCTTTTCTAAGTACTCGTCTATGTGCTCGTCTTGCAGGTTAGGATCGGTTACGAATTCAAACAGCTCGCGCATGGACATTACATCCACTCCATTCTTTTTGAAGAAGGCTGTGATATTCGAACAATCTTTGCGCAGAAAGTCCAATGCGCGGGGATGCTCATGCTCCACAGATTGTGACACATCGATGAAGTACAGCTGCTGCTTCCAGTACCTGAACAATGTAACACGGAGGTTGTAATAAAGATCAGTTCTACGTAATATAAAAGCACCCCAACACGGAGGTTGTAATAAAGATTAACTCTACACAATTCTCAAAGCATGTCAAAATGCATGACACTGTCATGACAAGGCATTACGCTGCCTCTGTTTGACTCCTAGTGCGCTTAGAAACACCATGGCGGACAACTGATGATGAACAAATCGACATCTGAGCAGTCATTACATGCACAGTCTCGTCGATGCGAGCTCATTGTACTTAATCGCGCACAAGTTGTCCTATATATTCTACAGGAAAATTCATGCTCGCTGAACGTTCCACTAATAATCTGACATCAATATCGATTAATTTACGCACACGCCTTCGACATACACTCGGCATTGTATTCCCGAAGTACATTCAACATCATTTGAATCTAATGCCAACTACGCAAAAGGTCCATCTTCGACTTACAGAAGATTGTATTCACTGAGATCTCCATGGACCAGCTTACAGACGTGGAACATCTTGCGCATGTCCTTGACGCACTGCATGTACAGTGATCGGTGTCTGTCGGCGCTGATGGTCGCATCCTTTAGTCGGGGTGCAGCCCTGTTTTGGTGAAATAGGTGAACTGGTGTGAACAGCAAGACGCTGAGTGACTCACTCACAACAATACATGACTAGCGCAAAACGATACACACTGTTCTCATGCCCAATTCAAGAGAAATTGGACACCCGATACGGGACAGACTCGCCTTCATGGTTTAAAGTGGGTAATTTCAAACGGGTAGTTCATGCGCATTTCCGCGTATCAATACGCAAAACATATGCCACTCTCGATGGCGACGAGTGCAGCTATCAATAAGTAACCTCATACAGCATCTAGGTTTATTCAGGCTATACAACACATTGTGATCCACATTGCACAGTTGCGGAATATAGGAAAGTGTGACCTTGAAACGCCAAAGGCACATAGCCACCCACACCCCACACATCACACTAGCAAATTTAACGAACAAAAGACATACAATATTACTGCCTTCGTGAGTGTGAACACAGATCATGTCTACGCTCGAATGCAAAATGCAAACACCCTACGACCACACACGCTCATGCACACGCACACATGCAACCGACGCCAATAACCTGTACAATGTATGTAACAGAATATTGAAGTTAATCGAATGCACACCGACCCCTAACTACTCGAATTGGGTCTCCATTGTCCCACTCACCAGCCGTCCTTGCCCAGGAACTCCATGACCAAGACATGCTGCCTTAGCATAATCATCCGGGGGGTGGGGATGCCCGCCTGAAATAATCGTATGTAGTTACGCATTTCTTTCTCCGCCCACAACTTTACCATCTTCCTCGGATTAGAGGCGCAGTAACCTTTACGGAAACGAAACTCTCCCGACACATAGCGATCTCTGCACAAGTAGTAAGAAAGAGGGGGCGAAGGGTTCAGACTGTCCGTGTAGCACAGCGTATATATATGTGTGTAGGACGTTATACATGCAACTGTGATTATGATTCGCTGGTGGTATTAATTGTTGTGTGTGCAACGCATCGGGAAGGACTATAGACTAGTTGCGGATTCCTGTACCCGGCTACAATTCTGGTGCCAGACAGGACTGGCGTATACAACCGCAAGAGCGGATGTACCATCGGGCACATCGAAATTCATTGAGCTCACATCGTCACTGGTAAAGCATTGGCATGCTATGTGATACTAGTACGTGGACACGTTAACAAAGAGAACAGACCCTATTCGGAAGAAAGATTCACGTGCGAAGAGCATTTGACACAAACAGCCCGACTGGGTATGATACATACCTGTCTTTGAAGACCAGAATGGAGGTTTTGTACACTTTGATGGCAAACTCCGCGTCCCTGTCTTCCGTGAAAGCATGGTACACATTCGCTTCCTTTCCTGTTGACACGCACCCGTGTATCTCATTAAAGACGCCCGCTGACATCATTTTAAATAAAATCATACGTGTTCTGGGGTCTAGAACCTGAGGATAGTATAGATAAGACAGTAAGTCGGTTGAAAACTTGGTCCAAACCATCCTGATTCGATTGCTGCCATGGTGGGTAGTTAAACTCAATACGCATTAAAAGAAAACCCCTCCCCAGGGTTGTAGTACATGAACACAATAAAGTTTGCCCATCCCAGCGCAATCCCACAAGTGTCAATATACGCTACGTCACAAGACGTTACCCCTATAACTTAAACCTATGATCAGCAACTGAACAACCAAGGGAAAGGCATGTGAGTACGAGTATGTCGAACAGCTCTTGCTCGTGCACTGTATGTGTCGTTCAAATGTATGTGTACCACTACTTTAGTAGAGATATAACAAGTGTGTGACTTGCCTGTTCTGTTGTAGCCCTATCGGCTTTGTCAGATGTACGATATGATGAGGAATCCGAGCCCTTCCCACTGGAGAGCTTCGATGTAGCGCCTTTCGACAGATTAGTTTCCACATTGATTTTATTGTAGTATTTCCTCAACGTCTGTTCCTGCGGTTGCATACGCTTTCCACCAGCGCCGGCTATAAACCATAGTTATAAGCGGGAATGATGTTGATTGTCAGTAATGTTTGGGGAGAAAACCATTCCTCTGCAAGCGAACAGATCCCAAGTGTACTGATTGGCAAGCCGATATAAAAATACAGCAAAGTATCACGCATCACAAATAGGCATACTGCAATATCGAAATGTATGTTTTCAGTCAACTTGGTTTGGTGCCATTCCAACTCACGCGGATGTAAAGTTTAGAAGAGGAACGTAGCAAGCAGGGAGGTACAAAGACACAATATTGTACGTAAAATCATACACATACACAAACACATACATAATCACATACGTCATCATGTATACTTATATACATATATAAATAATAATAATAATATATCAACAAACACACCCAAACCCACACACCCATATATATATATGCATATAAATACACACTTATATAGATATACATGCACATATACATATCCACACATATATATACACACACATATATATATAAATAGATATATATATACATACACACACACACACACACACACATATATATATATATATATATATATAATAAATATAAATACAAAAAACAGACATGCAGAAATATATAAATACAGATATAATATGCGTATGTAAAGAATACATAGATATATATATATATATGTATATATATATATATATAGATATATATAATATATATAGGGCTAGATATATATGTACGTATATATATATATGTATATATATATATATATATACATAGATACATAGATACTATCATACATATATATAATATATATACATATGCATACATATTTATATATATATACATATATATATGTTATATATATTTATATTCATATACATACATGCTTATTAGATCGTTACGCAGGAATAATTACATACACATGCACATACATACATATACAGCCACACTCACACACTCATATATATATATATATATGTACATACAGCCATGTACATATACACAGACACACCCACCCACCCACACCCACGTATTCACACACCCACACACACACACTATATATATATATATATATATTTATATATATGTATATAGATATACTTACATATATACATTTTGTATATGGAAAAGACAAGCAGATGCGTTTGTCCCCATAAACTCAGTATTGTATCCGATAACTAGCGGAGGTGATTACTATCCCATTTGATCGTTATGTCAAATAAATAGCTTATTGCGTATGAAAGCCAGAGAGGAGGTATAGTATAACTATATGTATTTGGACTACAGTTGCCCAATAAGGGTAATGGGTGGACACTCATACAATACTCCACTGGTTCTAACCGAACCATCGATATTTCTCAATTGATTTGCCCCTCAATATCCCCAGCATGTACCTCAGCACTAATACAGTAGGCGCGTGAGAGACTCACGTCGTGCTAAATACGTTTAAGTAGCCTGTTTAGTCTTAAGTGCTACAATCGCCCCGTTTAGCACATAAACCCCCGTACTAATTAAATATAATAGTTCACAGACATTTCAATGGCACAAAACTCGGCACTAAACATACCGTGTGCAGGGTTTGCTTGCTGTCCACTGCCTTGGATTACAAAATCATTGGGATCTCCATAGCGCATAAACGCTTCCTGCTCAATGCCGAGAGCTATCTCATCTACCTCAGTACTGTCGTCATAGTAATCGTCATCTTCATCTCCGTAATCATATTCCTGAGTAGTGTTTTCAGCAATATCCGTGCTTTCAGGCACAGTCTTTTCTATGGCAGTCATAGTACTTATATTAGCAGACTCGGCTTGGTCCAAACCAAGGGTTGGCATCACCCTATTAGAATATGTCACACAGATGCAGCGTATACTGATACTCACAGGCCTATTCAACTTGTTTTTAGCTTCTTGTGAGTCATACTAAAAATTCACGGCATGTGCTTTCCCGCATTCAATTCTGATTCGCTTCGAAAAATAAGTGATGACAGCCACAAAAGTAATGTCGCTGCACCGCTGCACAGCCTGCGCTGCTACAGTCTAAAATCCGCTCTCTCTCTCTCTCTATGAAAGACATACGTGTTCAGATCGTTACACCAAATACTACTAATATTGACCACAGCGTTTATTTACCCACTTTATCACAGCAAGTATTACTTGTGTCTTAACCACCGTACTGTCAGGTCTCTTGCACCGTACTATATACAGAGTTTAAAAAAAAATTACAAAATTGTAAGACTCATTTAATGTCATGATAGCGAGACCAGAGATTGAAAAATAAATTCGATAAGTACCAGTAATTACGTTTCAACTCTAGTTGAAGACTGTGGCATTGTTCTGGGTCTCAATAGTCTGAGCTGGTAGGGTATGATGAAGAGGTGACCTCATACTGGTCTTCAGCTTCATATGACCATGTTCGAATATTTCATGAGTATGGTATACATGGGTGTGCTATAGGCACCGCGAGTTGCACACCACCGTGTTTATATATTCTTGGTTTCACACTTCAGACATTACTGCATAGCTGCAAGCCATAGGTCTGTAAACTAGCCTTTATTTCGTCCTGTCGAAATTACATTTGCACAATACAGTATTTAAGGCCTTTCCAAAAACGTCTGAATTCATATTTCTCAACGCTGAGCATATCCCGCTATTTCAGCACAAAGAGTGTTCATCTCTACACTACGATGATGTATAAGGTCACGGCGAGGGGTTTTGCGCCAGTTTTCAATATGAAAATGTAACTTTCCTCAGGAGTATGAAGCACTTATACTGTGCGCACTCGCCACTATTGAGTGAGAAGTGCTCACATTATACGTATTCATACTTCTTGTACATTTAGGGAATTTTGGTTGCAAATTAAATCAAGGGGTCAACAGTAATAATTTCATTTATTACTTCTCGTCATCCTTAATATTCCCTTTACTGTAGTCTCTATACTATCAAATTAATTCAAAGGTCAGTAATACTTTTTTAATTTATTATATTTCACAATCCTTTTTATCATATTCCATACCATAATCATACCATTTACTTACTACTGTCACCTCCCCAAACATATCCCACTCTTCTGTTGTCTGAGAAACCTCAGAAAATAGCGGACAATACATCTGTATCCCCTCAGATGTGACACTTCGGAAGCGGTTTCTATTTTAAGGCAATATTCCTCGCTTCGCTCTTTACACTCCCATAGTTTCTATAAACAAAATCACTACTATTCAATTCTGTACCGAATTCCTAACTAACACGGCACATCACCCCGTGTACTCACTATAGGCACGCCAATGTTTTCATTTTTGGCATAGATCTATTCACATTCTTATCAAGTGGCACAGTCTGCACAGTCGTGCACTTTGTACAACCACCAGCACTTTTGCTTCTCCTATTCCAAGGTAAGAGGAACAGGCCGATAACCAACTCCATCAACGGTGCTAGCCTTCTCGGGCCATAACCCACTCAGCACCCATTGCAGCTACCACCGCATTCCATAACCCGACCCATCTGACTTATACACGTCCTTAACACCAATGTGGTCCGACGAGAGAGTGTACTCCGGACGGCACGGTGCGCTATTTCCGTTGACCATGGCATCTCCTCTGTGACTTCCAGCCCCTTTGTTTGTTGCAGTGCCCAGGCCATTCATACTATAGGTCGGCTCTCCACCTGAGCTTCCTAAGCGCTCGCTCAGGTTGACGCTGGTGCCGGCCAGGTTAAAGGGGGTTTGCTGGTGCGTGTAGTGCTGCATTTGTTGCGGATGTACAGTCGCGGATGCCCCTGTCCACATTGCTCGACCTATCATGGCAGTATTCTTGCTGCCAGGCTGCATGGCCTCACTATCCTCTCGGCCCCCGAGCCTCTGTGTTCTAAATTGCTGTTGCTGCGGCTGTACACAGGAATCGTTCTGGTTGGGTGTGCTGTTGGTAGTATCAGCAGACCCATTGGCGGATGTTCCGTTGCCACCACTAGTTCCAGGCGGCTGGCGAGAGTAGACCTTCGCATTCGCCACAGCAGTCTCGTAGGCCTGCATGTTGCTGAGTTGCTCCTCAGGGGAGTGGGAGTAAGTGCATACGAATTTCACTCTGTCTGTGGTCAAACCTTTGCCGGTGCAGCCCTTATTGTTACATCGGAACATTGTCTGGAAGAGATCGCTCCAAAATAACATCTCGGTCTTGTCGTGCGCATAATTGCATACTGGTTTGATACACAGACCACTCGAGGCAAAGAAATCGCACTTCTTAGACCGGAAAGGGCGTGGGAGATCGTTCTTACCCAGCCAGTTGTGGCTGTCATGAGGTGAAGACGCCTGCGGATCATCCCAACTATACAATCCGTGAGAGGCACATGCCGGCGTATTCAACTTCCCGCCATGGCTACTAAGCCCATCTTGCATATTGGATACGCCGGGATTGTCACCGAGCAAGGCCGTGGCGGAAGCTTCGTTGCTCTGAGTAATATATACATTTCTATGCGTTCCATATTGACTAATCGCACCGCCAGCGTTCTGGGGGGACATACCGACACCTCCATTGGACCATTCGCTCCCCACTCTATCCCCACGACCAGGCTGTACTGTAACGGTGTTCACTGTATCTTCGTAGCGGAACTTACTTGCGAGCTGCTCATCTGGCGAGTGCGCACTCAGACACCCGTTGGCACGGCCCAGACACCCAGGGGTTTTACATGGAATCATGCCTTGGTATAAAGCGGTCCACCAATCTTTCTCCTTGTTACCGTGTGCGAAATTGCAGACTTCCTTGCTACATTTACCCTGCTTGAAGAAGTCACATTCGCGCGACTTGAATGGTCGGCGAGGTAGCTCAGTTTTGCTCAGCCAGTTGCCATCGGCATGCTGAGAAAAGCTATCAGCGTCACACAAATCATCAAATTCGTCGTTAGTACCCCAATTTTGTTGCATCATTAATCGCTGGTTTTGGGATTGGTGCATTTGCTGTGTTCTGTAGGCGCCCTTGCCGGCTTCACCCACGTACGACGAGTGCGATTGCAGCACAGGTGTGTTACCCGAGGCCGATGTATTCGAAGATCCAAAATACTCCAGGCCGTTCCCCGACGAATGAGACGACGTGTACGTACTACTGAGACTACTTCTGGTCGTGTGGGTCAGGTCTTCATGCGACATAACCAACGGCATACAATTAACCGCACCCCTTCCGTTGCGATTGATGGAACCATCATCAGCATTGAAGGAATCCTCAAAACTGGTATTTGCGCATGCGCGTATCTGAGGCATTCCACCCACACTTCCTACGGACACACGCACATCAGTACTGTCATTGCTGAACGAGCTATGTCCCAGACTGCAGTGGGAGAGCTCGCGTGTGAGAACAGCGGTCGATGATTCCAGGCCAAGACTGTCTATCTCGAAGGTTAGAAATATACGCAAACGTCGTATCGCCAACTCCAGGTCGCTTAGTGAGGCCGATGGGCACATCAGCCCGTGGATGAGATCATCGAAACGGTCGTGTAGCGTTCGGGCTGTTACTACATCGGTACTATCGCAAAGCTGAAGAAAGACAAGGGAAATGCGTACTGAAAGCTGAGAAAGAATGTAGGACATGGTGCACGACACGCTCTTGATTTCAGTTTCCGTGCAATGATTTCACAAGCATTGTTTTTCATCTGGCGGATACACTAAAGCCACGCTTGTGTGTGTGTGAGACCTTAGTACAAGAGTCGCGGCACTACTCACCAAACCAATCAAACTGTTGGGCGAGCTGCATTTATCATTGAAACAAAGTTGCACAGCATTCAACTCAACCTCAGAACTTTTATGCAATTGTGGAGACTTACATTGTCCCAATGATTTAGCTCCGAGTTGTCGATGTCGCGCATTACATCCGGCGGTGCACCTTTGTGGGCGTGCCTGGTCATCTGCGATCTCAGTAGCCTGATCTTCTGGTTGGCGATATTCCTCATTGACTTCGGCCGATTGATGAATGAATAGTTAGTAGCTTCAGGCGTAGCACCATGCAATGTTACAGCGTCTGAATTTATTGCTACATACTAAAATGATGCTTACATTAAGGGTTAGTTTTTATAAGCAATCGAAGATATACTTTTTTAAGTTATGTAGTTCATCGACAGCACATACATCTCAATTCGATGTTTTTGAATACGGTAAATTCAGTACCCAGAACACATTGTCCACATTTATGATAGGTAAGAAAATTGCATGCTGAAATTCAGTGTTGGATTATCAGAAAACGCAATAGCATATTCGTATTCTTACCTGATACACCTTGCTGCAGCGGCCACTATCTTGTAGAGTCAAATCAAGCACTATGATGACAGGTCCACCGTATGCTGCAAATAACTGATATAGGTTCTCAATTTCGGATGACCTATGCTCTTGAAACATCTTCTTCACTTCTTGCAGCAGAGATGCCAGTATCTAGGTACAAAAGCGAGATTTACAAACAATACACAGTACTTGAGATTGTGGCAGTCAATATGTCCTTACGATATTCTGGTACCAGGCAAAGTCCAGTTAATTTCATCAATAAGGTCTACCGGGCGTTTCACACACAAGTGCAAAGTTGAAACCGGTTTTGATAGTGTAAAAATCAGACTGAGCTCTTTTTTTTACCATATACTAACACCTGCTATACGGTGATAGATCACGTTGGGCTCAGCGTGAACCAGAAGCGCAATACTTTCATCATAAAAAGCAACGCACTCTGCAACAGCAGAACAATATGAACACTTGCTGAAAGAAGTTACGAACACATCACGAGATGATGTCATAGACTCATACCACTTTTCTTGGTTGCTCTATACTCAATAGGTATCGTGTAAAATGGTGTCATATACGCATGGTATAATACCTAGAAGTCCAGCACATTGAAGTCACTCACTTATACTGCGTGCATTTGTTCTTAGACTTAATTTTTCGGTATGTATGCTTTTCCATCTGAATGTTCAATGCACGAGATCGGTATGCGATCAGATGCAGACTCACCCGAAATGGCCGAAGCAGTTTTGTCTCATCGTGATCAACTATCAATTCACGTCGCAATTCAGCTTCTCCACCTCCATGTTGAAGGTACAACATATTCGAATGATATACTGACGTACTCATTCACGCCCTATTCCCTGATCTAAATTGAATGCCAATGTAGAGAGCGCATCTCTATCGTTTGAATCAGGTGACAGAGTACTCGTATCATGCAATCCTTCAGTGGTAGTAACAGCGCTAATCAAATCAGATGGTCCGCTGCTCGTGTGACTAGCCTGTACGAGTGCGTGTGTGTATCTCTGGCAGTGTGCTATGTTTTTGTGATAATACAGTCCATGTCGAGATAACCACAGATCAGACACTACTTTATCACAAATTTTGAATTGGTACATTCCAGTGAATTTGAAATGTCTGTATTTGAGCTGTTGCTGAGCCCAACACCAATAGATTCTCTGCATTTACCCAAAATCTGAGGCATTTTCCGTTTGTTTTTATTTCGTTCTCCTTTCCCGGCTCCTCTGGCGGAGTCATCTCAGGCTCTCTCTCTCTAGTCTCTACTGTCTAACACCACTCATCAAGTCCGCACTCATAACAGATGATGCCCGTAGTACTGATAAATATGATCGTTCGAGTGATTCATTATATCACAAGGTCGAACCCACACAAACGGTCTCTGACACTTTAAATATATCCCGAAGCCTTTTTAAAAATATATTTGCTGTAATTCCACTTCGACTGAGTAAGAATGCTTAGCTCAACAGTTCACCCTTTTCTCGGAAAACCATAGTCCAAGATTGTTATTGACATACAACACCTTTAAATTGGTTCGGATCGAATGCCGCGAGTGAAGTAATAAAACATTGCTCTAGTTTTCTCGCCCTATGTATCATTGTCCGCGAGTTAAATGTAATTGGCAGCGCATACAGGAACTGCAGATGATGAACAGATACTTGCATTGCATTGTTTAAATGTGAATTGAGAGTTGTATATAATTATATTCTGTTTAAAATGACAGTGCCACATATTTACGGTTTTCTATTAGATCAAATTGGTGCAATTCACGCCGGGATCAACGTCGACTCCAAGAAAGTCGGAAAATGTGAAGCAGATATGAGCACGCTTGTAGTTCTGAGTGTTACTTCTATTTATGGTAGGGAGATCGATATCATCTATTTAAAAAATTTCCTTGTCTGCGGAAAATCAGAAGCGTAGGCTGCCGGCCATAGTAGAGGCCAGTATACGAAGATATACGAGCGAGTGTTGGAATTGGGGGACTAGCTACGCGCAATACATTCCTACATGTGAAGTGTACCAAGAAAAAGGTGGAAGCATGTGACTTTGACCCAGATCCACCAGACCTAGAGAGGAGCTGCCATTCATTTCGCGATCAAGGTCTTTACCAGCATCACCTTCAAGAAAGAACCTTTTTCTTAACTCGAGTTTAAGGTACTTTCCAATCAGTGTACAGCGTGCAGGAAACTGAGAAAGTCAATACCTAATACGCATGTGAATGTTGTATGCTACATACAAGCGTAGATAACCTAGGCTGCCCCGCCGCCCAGCGCTACACGAGACATGGGGCACGCAAACGATAGCCCAGTCATCAAGCATATGCGACGCTGGCGTCTTTGAAACTTCACAGCTTCTTCGGTATATCGGGAAGTTGAGAATTGGATCTGATTTGATACAAAACAGATTGATGGTCTCGTTCCGTATTTGAATCCTCCAAACTATTCAAATGATCCTCGCTTGTTGTTCTAATCACATATTACCTACAAGATACATCCCGGGTATGTAGACTCAATGTAAGATCCACGTTCAATTTTAAAGATTAAATTCCGTACACCATGGTGTTTAATTGTTTATTTCATTAGCTATAGATCGTCGGGTAGTTTACCTGACGCTACCACGCGTGTTACGGGTGCGCCGAGTTCGTGTCGGCCTTTTCTCCGTCTCGAGTACCGACGCTATATTTGGATTCCTTCAGTATGAGAAAGTCAGGCGAGAAAGAATGCTTAGATATACAAGTTAGCAGACAGTATGAAACGGTGTATACTCTTAAACACGTGCTGAGATACTTACCGGGAAAAAACGCCGAGCTGAACTGTGCATGATGCGAGGAATATATAAACAGAACAGTATCGACCGCACGAGATATGAAGCAATTATGTAAGCTCCGTCCTATTGATTACCTGTTTTCCAGCTCGCCATCGAAGGCGTCGGTCGGACTTGCATTTGCCTGTAAAGCATGGGGTATGCAGTACCAAAGCGTGAGTGGGTGTGGAGTATTAGAAATAAGAAAGCATTTTTTTGGGTGCGAATAGACCACCCGTGTTTTACAAAGCAGCCTCTGGTTGTCCCGTACATAAATATTTATTGGACCCGATATGCACGACAACACCCCCCGCCCATATGACAGCAACTATAGTTTACCTTCTCGGGCTGAGTGGCATCTACCATATATATGTCCTCGTCATCAGAAGACACTGGCAGTTGCCTTTTCACGGCAGTCTGTGGCGTGTAGGTTGTTTCGCTTGGCACAGCGTCTTGCATGATCACTGCAGCGAGTGTGGGATGATGCAAAGAATGAAGACACATAAGAAAGCGAGTACATTGGTATGTACCCCAGATAGATGCAATCTGTGATGGATATAGAAAGACGCAATACCAACTGGGAGAAACATGATTACATATCCAATGAATAGAACTAAGTATAATGATAATGAAAAAACCTGACAGATGAATCAAAGTCACGGCCTGTGCGATGATTGATTGATTAACTTGTATCTAGAAACTACATCACGGCAGTTTGTAGTATGCGGCAGAATACGGTCTAGCTACACGCGAGTACTTTAGAGCATGGTCGCGTCACTGTCATCAAGGCCCACGAAAATCCTAAAACCAAGTTTTCGTGCAGCAAACCACATTTACCGTCTTCCGCCAGTGCCTGCGTGGAGAGGATATCTGGGGGTTGGGTCTGTGTAAGATCGTTGAAGCCTTGTGAAGCCTCGACATCCATATCCGCTTTCTCTGGAGCGGAGGGGCTGTCCGTGGCCGTCTGCTCAGTTTTGAGTTGCGTGTCTTCGGTAGTGTCCATATAGGCCTCGTCCCCTTGCTCTGTGGTCAGCTCGGCATCCTGATATATTAAATGTGCAGCTATTTATGAGACTAATTGTACAGCATTGTATATACGAATCGTGTATTCAGTGGATTGTGGGTGAATGTGCAATGTGTTGGTAGCATAGTTTTCTTTAAATAAGCAATGAAATTGGAATCCATAGAAAAGCCAACCAGGTACCACAAATATACAGCCGGCATGTTAAACATACACACACAGCTGTGTCATTGCACACACATAGCTGTCGCAATATACGAATATCTACATGCTCCAGCGTAGGCTATATCATCCAGCTCGTTTCGTGCGCGACAATGAAATGTATCGGCAGGCACAGTATCGCTGGCGGACTAGAATACAAACAGGCACAGTATCGCTGGCGGACTAGAATACAAACAGGCACAGTATCGCTGGCGGACTAGAATACATACAGGCACACGACGAGCATCTCAACCACACGTACGGTGCAGAGCGCACTCTCTCGACGTCTTCTCGCAAAGCAATACAGCAAAATTAGCAAGCTATCAAATAAGCACATGAATCAGTACACACCCCTTTATGTTTAGCCTCAAGTCGTAATTCGTACTCCTCCAGCTCCGGCCTAGTCTCGGGCTTGCTTTTCTTCACCCGAGCGACTATATCCTTGAAACATTTGTATACAGTTTCATCGCCCATCTTATCTATGTAGCACTGTGGTCGAAAAAAGAAAAAAAAAGTCCAAAAGGCATTAGTACTTTCAGATAAAGACTCAAAGTAGGTATCTGCATCACCTCACGCTAGTATATTAGATAGGAGACAAACAAGATACTACTCGACCCCAGCATCGCAAAACGGCTTAGCCTTCGCTCAAGAAGACCATACTTGGTGCGGAATTTACCAAAAAGCTAGAGGTACAAACTAAATTCGCCTTTAAAACGTTGACATTATCAAAAAATATATCTACAACTTCCACTTGTAGTGAACCAGGTGAGAAGCCTACATACGCCCAAACCAAATACTAAGGGCATTGTAATTCAAACAGAATCAAGCGGGAGGCTCCAAATACATCGGAACCCATTTCAAGGACACTATACTGCCATTGCAGTCCGCATTTATGAAACGACGAGATTTCTTACCTTCTCATTCTGGATGAGCTTTTCCGTGCCCTTTTGCGTGAACTTGAGTTTTGTGAGGCAGAAAGCCAAGTCACGCCATTGCCTGTACTCGTAGGTGGATTCGAATCTCTTGCACAGTTTCTCGATAAGGGATTCGGACTGCGTGCATTGGGGATGGTATTTGAGCGTGAAAAAAGCATGAGAAGGAAAATCTCAAACACACGTGCATACAACAATTATTTCATCTGCTTCGGAAGCTGTTAGTATGTCTGATATCAGCGGATAGTGACAACAATTTATCTTTGAACACGATTGCATACCTGTTTGTCCCTTTCGATGTATGTGAGTAGTTTTTCCATTATCCGCCTGAACTTCTCAATCGGTATCGCTGCAGATATAGGAGTACGAAAGGATTAGCAGGAAGTATATCATGCGCATCGTATTGATGCCACCATTGCATAGGCGTTGACCGCCATGGTGATTTTACGAGCACTTCTATACTTATCCATATAGTTTAATCTCAAGGAATGGGCGAAAGCTTGCAGCATGTAGCATTCGTGAAGAAGTTGAAACACTAAGACGCAGGAGCACGAGATACACATGAACAACGCGAGTGCTTACGTAGCATGGCAACAAGGAGCTCAGTTCTGACCACAGGTCACTTTGTAGTCTGTACATTTAACGGGTCATAGGAATTCTTATGCACACATACATTCTTTTTTACTGGACAGTTTGCTGATTATATCTGGCAGGATGTTGTAGACAGCGTTCTCCTGTGAAATGGGAACAGTGGAAAAGGACAATACGTTAGCCATCAACCTTCACTCCAGGACGGAACAAAAGTGAAAGCAGGGAGTGGTTTAAACCCGAGAGAATTGATACGAGGTCCTTCCATTTAGTCGTCTACCCATCCAACCACAGTCGGGAAGCGCTCAATGGCACAGTAATAGAGGCACACGAACTGATCCAAATACAACATTTAGGCACAGGTTCGAGATTGTTTACGAAGGCTTTCCCAACTAGTTGTCATACGTGTACGTTCGTCTGTGATTGTTGTATGCGAACTACGTGCAACATCGGGCTACGACGACAGATAATTTCACTCATCGATTTTTAATACAGGTCTGCGTTTATTAGCCCCATTTTTGATATTTTAAGTTTACGTCGTGCATACTATAGACACACACACACACACACACACACATATATATATATATATATATATATATATATATATATATATATATATATATATATATATACACTATAACTAAACGTAATAGTAGTAAATATATATA